TACAGACCTGGCTGCTCTGCTCTTCGATTCCCACGTGTGTGACTCAGCCCAGGGGGAAAACTAAATAAATAATTAAATTAAATAACATTTTAAAAACCTAAGTAACTAAAAAAAAGAAGGGAAAAAGTTAGTGGGGGGCAGGGGGGGGGGGCACCCTCCGGGAAACACTGAAAGGAAAGGCAAAAGCCAGATTCCAAAGTTCTGTATTTTTCAAAATAAAGATCACACGTTGTTTAGAGACAATCTACACAAGAGTTACAAAAAATAGTCGCCCAGGCAATAAGCATACACAGGTTTGTTAATTATACACATATGGTTACAAGTGTGCTTGCAAAAAAGTTCATTGGAAATATACACAAGGCTCTGTAAATGTACACCGTGTAGTGTTACAGGTCTATATTCAAACAAGGAAAATTGACAGTATGTTACATTCACTTACAAGTAGACAAAAATGCAAAATACAGTTCATCTTCTGTACAAAAAAAGGGGGGGGGGGGGGGGGATTCCGCCTTTACAAGGTGAAAAGGGGAACTCTGATTGTAAGGAAAACTAGGGGGGGGCTGTACTTTTGCACTTTTTTCGTTTCTTACTGTCACAAAATAAGCAAAACATTACTTTTTCTTTTTTTTTTAAGATTCAAAAAAACACTATTTTGAACTGAATCATTTTCGTATAACATTTAGAAAGGATCGCTACTGTTCAACTAGGTGACAAATAAAACCAAGCAGTTATTTTTATTTTCTTTTTTTTTTTTTTTTTAAACATTAACTAGGCTGTATAAAGAGAACATTTCCTTCCAAAGAAAAAATTTACTTCTGGTTGAAATTACAATTTACAATATACAACACTATATGCTACGACCATAAAAGGTGTGAATATACACTGAAATGCACAGGTTTTGCTAATTCTTTTTTTTTTTTTTTTTTTCTTTACCAAAGGCATCTGCTGCTTCCCAAATACTTTCTTTAGGCCATTCAAATACTAGTAAAACACGCCAGGCCAACATTGAAATCCCTTGTAGACGGGACATATCTGAAAGCGTTTTCTTTTTTTTTTTTTTTTTTTAAACATTAACTAGGCTGTATAAAGAGAACATTTCCTTCCAAAGAAAAAATTTACTTCTGGTTGAAATTACAATTTACAATATACAACACTATATGCTACGACCATAAAAGGTGTGAATATACACTGAAATGCACAGGTTTTGCTAATTCTTTTTTTTTTTTTCTTTTCTTTACCAAAAAAACGGGTTTTTTTTTTTTAATGTCGATTCAAACTTCTCCACATTTACATTACAGAGGTTTACAAATGTACAATTGTACAGTCAGAAGTATGTTCCACTACTAGGGTACATTATAGATACAGATCAGACATCAAAACAAGAAAATACTACAAATTTTTGTTTTTTTATATATGTAAAGTCTACACCAAGTATACACTAGATATTTATAGAAGCAAGACCAAAGCCGAGTTGGGTTTATTTTTGCTTTGTATTTCTTTTTTTCTTTTTTTCTTTTTTTTTTCCTCATGCTAAATAATCAACTCGTGTCCCTCGTTAAGGAGGGGGGTGGGCAGGGAACCGACCCCCCCTCCTTGGCTTTAAAAACTCTGGGGGGTGTTTGGGGGGTGTGTGTTTGGACGTTTTCCTCCCCAAAACGACAGCAAAAGAGCAGCCACCACCTCCTTTAGCATGTTCTATCTCCCAAAAAAAAAAAAAAAAAAAAAAAAAAAATTAAAAAGTTTCAAAACCTTAATTCTCTTTTTTTTTTTTCTGTTAAACCGAAGCTTCAGCAAGTTGAATTTTTCTTTTTTTTAATATATTTATAAACAGCGTTAAATTTGTGCCATTTAACTAAAATTCAAACTTCTTGCCAACTTTTGACTAAAAGGAGAAAAAAAAACCCACCAGGTATTTGCAAAAAAGTTGCCCGCGAGGCAGAAGAATTAAAAACTTTTTTTTGTTTTTTCCTTCCCTGTTTGGGTTCTTTGTTTGTTTTCTTCAAACCAACCACCCTGAAAAGTCTCCACATTTGGAATATAGATACAACAGTGAACAAAAATGTGGCCTTTCCATGTACATTTGATACCTATGTACAAGTATTCTATACACCAGTAAAACAGCAGGGCAATTAGTTAATTAAAAAAAATAATTAGTACATGTTATGCATAATAAAATTAAAGAAATTTACAAAGGCTTTTTTCTTCTTTTTTTTTTTTTTTTCTTTCCCATTTTCTGAGCAGTTTCACAACCAGGAAAGGGTTTCTCCATCTGTTTGTTGGGATCTCGTGGGTCGCTGGTTGTGGGCGTGGGCCGGGCCGTGGGATGCCCCCTCCCCACCTCGCTGCTTCAGATGATGCCGTTGGGGGGCCCACAGATGGGGCCCAGGTCCACCCCGTTCTTCATGTAGTACTTCTCCAGCTTGGCCAAGATGTGTTTGCCGTAGGTGTACTTGCGCAGGGTGGCGATGTGAGGCCGGATCTGGGAGATGAAAGAAGAAGAAGTGAAGTTTAGGAACCCCCAATTATCACCAAGACAACCCTGGGCGAGCTCCAGGTACCCCCCGGGCAGAGTGGTGGCCACCAGCAGGAGATCAGAAGACCATAAAACCACCTCAATCACCTCATTGCTGTGAACGAAGTCAACGCCCATCGCTCACTGATGGTATTTTTAGGAGGAAGTTCTGGTTAAGCAGGTGGCACCATCTTAAGAGTCATAGAATGGTCTGGGTTGGAAGGGCCCTTGAAGATCGAGTCCAACCACCAACCCAACACTGCCAAAGCCACCACTGACCCATGTCCCTCAGCACCACATCTGCCCAGCTTTTAAATCCCTCCAGGGACAGCAACTCCACCACTGACCTGGGCAGCCTGTTCTGATGTTTGATAACCCTTTCCATGAAGAAATTGTTCCCAATCTCATAGAATCATAGAATCATAGAATTGCCCAGGCCGGAAGGGACCTCCAAAGGCCATCTAGTCCGACCCCCCCACAGTCAGCAGGGACACCCCCAACTAGACCAGGTTGCCCAGGGCCTCGTCGAGCCTCACCTTGAATATCTCCAGGGAAGGGGCCTCAACCACCTCCCTGGGCAACCTGTTCCAGTGCTCCACCACCCTCACAGTGAAGAACCCTCTCCTCATCTCCAGTCTAAATCTGTTCCCCTCCAGCTTGAAGCCATTGCCCCTCGTCCTGTCACTGCAGGCCTTTGTAAACAGGCTCTCCCCAGCAATCTCCATCCTAAACCTCCCCTGGTGCAACTTGAGGCCATTTCCTCTTGTCCCATGGCCTGTTCCTTGGGAGAAGAGACCAACCCCCCCTGGCTACACCCTCCTTTCAGGGAGTTGGAGAGACCGAGAAGGTCTCCCCTCAGCCTCCTCTTCTCCAGGCTGAACACCCCCAACTCTCTCAGCCCCCCCTCCCAGCAGAGGGGCTCCAGCCCTCCCAGCATCTCCGTGGCCTCCTCTGGCCTCGCTCCACCAGCTCCATGTCCTTCCTTCCTGAGGACTCCAGAGCTGGAGGCAGGACTATTGTCACTGTTGTAGTGACTTCACTAAGTCACTTCCAACACCTGAATGAAGTCCCCTCCCCTGGCAGAGCCCCCCTGGACAAGGACAGCCGTTTTGGGGCAGGAACACTGTGGTGCTGCTGAAGTTCTCCTGGGCAGCTTCAGAGGAAGGAGACGTAAGAGCAATTCATTTTCACAAATACCCCCCACCCCCAGGACGTCCCTTCGAGGACACAGTGACAAGGGACACTCACTCAGGAGTGGGAGCCATGGGCAATGAGTGAACATCCAGAGTGGGATGTTCAGCCCTTCCTGCTCCAGGGAGCACCCTGGTCATGAAACCCCATGGGAACCCAATCCCAACCCCTGGGGAACCATCTCAAACACAGCCTGTTCCTTCAGCTCACAGATCACAGAATGGTTTGGGTTGGAAGGGACCTTAAAGACCATCTCATTCCACCCCCTGCCCTGGGCAGGGACACCTCCCACCACACCAGGTTGCTCTTCCAGTGTCTCACCACCCTCACAGCAAAGAATTTCTTTCTGGTATCTCATCTAAATCTCCCCTCTTCCAATTTAAAACTGTTACCCCTTGTCCTGTCGTTGCACTTCCTGATAAAGGGTCCCTCCCCAGCTCTCCTGGAGCTCCCTTCAGATATTGGGAGGCTGCTCTAAGGTCTCCCCGGAGCCTTCTCTTCTCCAGGCTGAACAACCCCAGCTCTCTCAGCCTGTCCTCACAGCAGAGGTGCTCCAGCCTCTGATCATCTTTGTGGCCCTCCACTGGACCCTCTCCATCAGGTCCATGTCCTTCCTGTGCTGAGGACTCCAAAACTGGACACAGAGCTCCAGGTGGGGTCTCATGACAGTGCAGCAGAGGGGCAGAATCCCCTCCCTGGCCCTGCTGGCCACACTTCTCTTGATGCAGCCCAGGATGGGGTTGGCTTTCTGGGCTGCCAGTGCACACTGCTGGCTCATGTTGAGCTTCTCATCCATGAAGTCCTTCTCCTCAGGGCTGCTCTCCAGCCATTCTCTGCCCAACCTGTCTTTGTGCCTGGGGTTGCCACGTCCCAGGTGCAGGACCCTGCACTTGGCTTGGTTGAACCTCATGCGATGAGCTCAGCCTCTAAGTGTCCAAATCCCTACTCCACTTCAAGGAACACTCATGAATTGATGCCCTCCCAACATCCCACTTCCAACAAGGTCCAAGAGCTGCTCTCCAAGCAGTTGTCCAAGGCTGAGGACAGGAAGGCTCCTCAGGTCCAAGAGTCACTGAGCTCCCCACATCCAGCCCCTCCTGGGGCTGTCAGCCCAGTGCTATTTTTGACAGCCACGCTGATCACCTAATTAGCATTTTATTCTAAAGACTTAATGCCTGACAGGAGGAAGAACTTGTCAGTAAAGATCACTCGTATCTATATGTTTTTAATACATACCTCCCTATATAGAGACTGGCACAGGCTACAGCTCCTTCTGCCTCAGTTAAACTGCACATATCCCTCGCCACGCATTGTTATTTAATTATCTTTATAATTACTTTTGGACCAATATACATTTTGGTTTAAAAGGACTGCTCTGAATGATCCCTAAACCTAAGGATGCTGCTCTCTGTTGTTTATACTCTGGTAACTGCCGTGCGGAGGTAAAATCAGGTTCTTTTCACAGGTAAAACCCCCTCCATTTTACTCAAGGATTCTTAAATACAATTAATTTCATTGGAATTTCAACACCTGACACTCTCACAGTTCCCCTTAAAAACACCATAAATATGGGGTTTTCCACACCAGTGTTAGGATTTTATTTCTAATAGGAGGTGTAGCTCTAGCTGGTGTTTTTCACAAAGTAACAGACCCCAGAGCCACGTGACTGAAGAAAATGATCTGTTCCACTACACATTTAAAAGCCTATTTTTTCCCATTCATTACAGTTACAAAGACCCACAAATGTGACCTTTAAAAGCAGGAAAATGAAGACATATAACCTGATTTTGCGAGCCTCCTGCCCTTGGGACAGCAGGCATGGAGCCCTGGGAGGCAGAGCTGGCAGCAAGGAGTATTTAATTCCAAAATGTCTTCATTTTTGACCAGTATTAAGTCCTGAAATTGTTACGCATTCAAATACTGCGAGATAACCTAATTAGCATTTTATTCTAAAGACTTAATGCCTGACAGGAGAAAGAACTTGTCAGTAAAGATCATTCATATATATATGTTTTTAATACATACCTCCCTATATAGGGATTGGCACAGGCTACAGCTCCTGCCTCAGTTAAACTGTGCGTATCCCTTGCCATGCATTGTTATTTAATTATCTTTATAATTACTTTTGGACAGATTTTGGTTTAGACTCACAGAATCTTCTAGGTTGGAAGGGACCTTAAAGATCATCTTGTCCAACCGTCAACCTCACTGACAAAAATAGACACCCCCACAACAAACAAGGAGCATCATCACTAAACCAGACCTCCCAGCACTACATCAACCCGGCTTTTGAACACCTCCAGGGATGGGGCCTCAACCCCCTCCCTGGGCAGCCCATTCCAAGGGCTGAGAACCCTTTCAGGGAAAAAATTTTTCCTAATATCCAGCCTGAACCTCCCCTGGGGCAACTTGAGGCCATTTCCTCTTGTCCTGTCGCCTGGGACTTGAGAGAAGAGACCAACCCCCACCTCTCTACACCCTCCTTTCAGGGAGTTGGAGAGAGCAATAAGGTCTCCCCTCAGCCTCCTCTTCTCCAGGCTGAATAACCCCAGCTCCCTCAGCCTCTCCTCATCAGACTTATTCTCCAGACCCCTCACCAGCTTTGTCGCCCTTCTCTGGACCCGCTCCAGCCCCTCAATGTCTTTTTTATGGTAGGGGGCAAAGAAGTAGAAGAACTACTCTGAATGATCCCTAAACCTAAGAATTAATCTTGAACGTGGAGGTCTCTCACCAAAACCCTATTGAAAATGGAGAAATGGAGGATTTGGTGAATGCCTCCTGGCTCAGATGTGGTGGCTGCGAGCCTGGTGCCACCAGCCACCCCGAGGGCTGTAAAGCAGGGACACGGTGACACGGCAGGGGTGGCAGCCCTCAGAGGGGTCCCCAGGTGGGTCGGGGTCTGGCTCAGTTCCACTCGAGCGCGTGAGAACACTTTCAGCAGAGAAGGCTGTTCTCAGTGAGGGCAAGTGTGTCGTCACCGCCAGGACCCCCGAGGGTCCCTCGCCGGGTGCCACCCCCCGTCACTGCTGCTGTCACTGCAGGGGGGGGGTTATCAGCACTCGCTCCACCACGAGCCCAGAACTAGGTTAGTAGGTCAGAAGAGATTGCTAGGAGCAACCAGCTAGTTTTCAGTCCAAATGGCATCTCATTATTCCACATTTTCACATTTCAGCTACAACTGAAATAACGCAACTTGGAAAACGCTTCAGGACAGGGAACTACTGGAAAGAGTCCAGTGAAGGGCAACAAAGATGATTCAAGGATTGGAGCATCTCCCTGATGAGGAGAGACTGAGAGAGCTGGGACTCTAGTCTGGAGAAGAGAAGGCTGAGGGGAGACCTTATCAATGCCTACAAGTATCTCAAGGGAGGGTTGAAGGAGGAGGGAGCCAGACTCTTTTCAGTGGTTCCCAGTGAGAGGACGAGGGGCAACGGGCACAAGTTGGAACAGAAGAGGTTCCACTCAAATATGAGGAGAAACTTCTTCACGGTGAGGGTGGCAGAGCCCTGGGACAGGCTGCCCAGGGAGGGTGTGGAGTCCCCTTCTCTGGAGATCTTCAAGCCCCACCTGGATGCTCCTGAGTAACATGCTCTGACAAGCTCTGGGCAATCCTGCTTCAGCAGGGGAGTTGGACTAGATGATCTCTATGGTCCCTTCCAACTCTAAAATTCAGTGAAATTCAGTGAAATCCGTAGGAAATTCTAATGGCCTTGAACCCCTCCAGGGATGGGGCAGCCACAGCTTCTCGGGGCAACCTGGGCCAGGCTCTCCCCACCCTCACACCAAACAAGTTCTTCCCCACATCTCAGCTCCATCTCCCCTCTTTCAGGGTCAAACCCTTCCCCCTCCTCCTAGGGCTCCCCTCCCTGATCCAGAGTCCCTCCCCATCTCTCCTGGAGCCCCTTGAGGGACTGGAAGGGGCTCTGAGGTCTCCCTGGAGCTTTCTCTTCTCCAGGCTGAACACCCCCAGCTCTCTCAGCCTGTCCCCAGCCCTCTGAGCATCTCCGTGGCAGGAGCAAGCAGGGCAGCAGCGCCAAGCCTGACCTCCTCCTCCTCCTCCTCCCCGGAGGGTGGCTCTTACCTTGTGCATGACAATCTTGCGCTGCGCCGGCTCCGCCACGTCGATCATCTTCTGCACCACGTAGTTGGCGTATTGATCCTTCATCATGGTGTATAAGGCACTGTGGGGGCCGTCGTTCATAGTGCACACCTCGTCGATCAGCATGGCCCGCTCCGTGCGCGACGCGTGGGTCACGCACTTCTCCACCACGTTGCTGGGAAGAAGGAAAAGGAGGAGAATCCCTGAGTAACCACGTCTCCTCCTGGCTCTTCCCTCAGCTCTGAAGGGATCTCTCACGTAAGGGCAGAGAGGTTTTGGAGCAAAGTGTGCTGGCATCAAAATTAAGCAATGTCAAGCAGAAGAGCAGTGCAAGGATTTGGGGATCCGAGTGGGAATTTGGGTACCTGAGTGGGAATTTGGGTACCACCTGAGTGGTACAATTGAACACATTTTATAAATTTGGCATTTTCTGATGCAAAACTTTGATTTGGGACCAATTTAAACAAATTAATTGGATGAACAGACATCCTTCTATGCCCAACATTCCTCAATAAACCACTCTACTGATGTCAGACTACACTTTCCCACCTGGAAAAGGCAGAGGTGAAGAATTACCTAGAAACAGTTGTTCTCCACAGCACAGACACCTGAACTTGCTCAGTTGGTCTAATTTATTAAGAAATTCAAAGGAAAACACACTGCTGCTTTGCCGATTTCCAGTAATCTGTTTTGGGGAGTGTTTCCAAGGCTATTCTGTGCCAAATTTGTGCCACTCCACAAGGATGCTGTGTTTGAGATGCCTGTTCTCACCGTGTGCCCCCCGTCCCCATCACAGAAGCAGAGGAGCTGGTTCTCTCTTTGGTTTTCTCAGTACTGGAGAATTGAGTTCCAAGGTCAGAACAACAGGGAAATGTTTCTTCAGGAACAAAAGATCTTAGGGAAGGCAGAGAACTTCCAAAATTCCAGAATATATTGGATGACTGGCCTCTGCTCTCCAGAGAGCCAAGTTAAATAGGATGTTTGAGAGGGGACACGGAGTTTTGCTGCTCTTATCTCCTGTGTCCCTGGCTGGGAGTGACCGAGTGTGGTGCCACAGGGAGCGCTCACCTACACTAATTAATGAATCCTCCAGTTGGAAAAAAAGGTTAGAAAAAAGAGGATGGCAAGTCAGAGGGGAAGAATCTGCAATGACAACAGTAAGACCACAGTCTTCTAAGTCTTGTTACATTTCCCTTGTGTTCTTGAGCATTTTACTCATCATAAAAAAGGGGGGAATATTGAGCCTTTGAAGAGATCACCTTTGTGTTCCAATGGCTACAAATGCACACAAAGGAATGTGCCAATGTGGGAATTATTACTTTGTCTTGACACCCACTAAGGCCCCTGGATTTTGCTTCCACCCCCCAGTAGCTCTGCAGCACCTGCACTGAGAGCCTGGTGCTGCCACAGTTTCCCCAGGAGGGTACCGTGGGGGGGGGGGGGGCCCAAAAAGGCCC